TAGAATTAAACAAACAAAATGTGGATAATAAGAAGCAGATTTTTCCCTGTCAGATAAAGCAGATAAAAATTAAAAAATGAAGGCTAAAATAAACCCTGTGAACTAGGTGTCAGTGTGAACTCAGGTGGGGGGAGGGGAGAGAGAGAGAGAGAGAAAGAGAGAGAGAGGTGTGTGTGTGTGTGCACACGCATGTGTGTATACCTGTGTGATGCATTTAGCTCTATCCTGAGAAGACTGATAGGTAGTGACAACTCAATAACACTGAGTATATCTAAGACCTGAATATTATTTTGTGAATTTCCATCTCCAGAATTAGAAACCAGACTCATTGGAGAAATGGATAATTGCAGGACTAGCATACAAATGTTCAAAATGGAACTAGAACCAATATGAGAATGGTCCCAAAATGTATGAAAGTATTCAAAGCATGATGAAGATGTGTAATAGAATAATCAATTTAAGAGGTTCACAATGTCCAACCAAACATGAGATAATATGAACCACAAAAGATAATGGTCCATACTGGAGTATTACACAAAAAATAAAATCAGAATTCATTAATCTACACTAATGTACATGAGCAATGTAATGCATACATTTAAAAAAAAAGAGGAAATTTCTTTATTATAGTAGTATTACAACTAATGTAAAATATAGTATAAATAAAAAACACAATTTTACAAACATTATGGTGATAGGTGTAACGTGAATTTTATCAGTGGATGGTAAAAATAATTGAAAATTATGGTAAGAAAAAAAATTTCAAACAATCTCAGCAAAACGTGTTTTTAGTTAAAGCAGAAATGTTGTTAACAGTGGAGAAACTTAGTGGACAACCCCATAAGCAAATAACAAAATTAACACAACTAACAATGGCACGTCTGATGCCTTGTGCCTGCTGATATGATGCCCTGAGAAATAGTAATAAATATCACACAAGTTCATATTCTACAAAATAAGTGGCCAATATTTTCAAAAATGTAAAAGCCATAATTTTTTTTAAAGGACTGGGAAAACAAAAAGTAAAGGAGAATGAAAAAGCATGACAACTAGATTTAATCTTAGACAACAGAAAGTACACTTGTAAAACAATTGTTAAAAGTAAATTAAGTCTAGAGATTATAGTGTTGTATCTATGTGATGTTCCCGGCTTTCACATTTGTACTGTGGTTTTGTAATACATTAGTTTTTAAAAATGTGATATGCAAGTAACTAGAACTGTTTCTTTTTGTTTTGCTTTGTTATTTTCTTTCAACTTTTATTTTAAATTCCAGGATACATATGAAGGAGCAGAATTGTTTTAATTGATGTTGCAAAATTTTTGGTCATCATCTGAAATTCTTTCAAGATATAAAACTTAAGAACAAAAGACCTAAAATAATTCCTTAATACATGCTGAGTCACATTTTATGTGCTTCATGTTAAGAAGAGAGAGATAAATACATAGGAACAATTTTGAAAGGCTTTCATAAAAGAGGTAAGACTAATGGGTGCCTTAAATAGAGAAAACATAGTATATATATGGAATCATATAATGGATGCAGAAATAGATATAGAATATTAGTTTTGATGTGAAGTTGGTGAAGATACAAATGGTATCCAAAGAATATATTGGTGAGCATAAAGATAGCAATAACCAACTGACCACCCGTAACATTTTTAACTTAATTTGATAGACTGTTTACTATATATACACATATATATGTATACATATGTATATACATATATATGTGTGTACGCGCGCGCGTGTGTGTGTGTGTGTGTATATATATATTTTTTTTTCTTTTTTTTTTGAGGTAGCGTCTTGCACTGTTTCCCTGGCTGGAGTACAGTGGTGCAATCACAGCTTCCACCTCCTGGGCTCAAGCGATTCTCCTACCTCAGCCTCCTGAGTAGCTGGGATTACAGGCACACACTGCCACACACGGCTAATTTTGCTTTTATTGATTTATTTTTAGTAGAGATGGGATTTCACTACGTTCGCCAGGCTACTCTCAAACTCCTGATCTGCCTGCCTCAGCCTCCCAAAGTGCTAGGATTACAGGCGTGAGTCACTGCGCCCAGCCTCCTTACAATATTTTTTATGGTCAAAAGTGAATGTGTATATGTTGTTATAAAGAACGTTTTCATAAATGGTTAATATTTCACACACTCAAAAAAATAAATAACTAAAATACACAAGGAAGAGATGGAAATCAAACAGGGAAATCAAGTGAGTCTAATGAACTGATGGAAAAGGAATGGACAGGATGAGTCTAAGTAACTTTTGATCTTGTTTTAATTTTGAGTTATTTTATAAAAAATAAATAAAATTCTTCGCCATCTCTCCGGAAGACCCAGTTAGACATATAGTAATAGGTTTGGCAGTAAACTTAGGAGGCCATGTAGTAATGAACATAATCCTGACTTGCTGGTTTGAAAAACAGAATTGATGTTCCTCATTTGCCATCCAGGGTATGACACCGGCCAGTATTTTGATGGATTTGAGTCTCCGTTTTTTTTTTTTTTTTCTAAAATGAAAGTAGTGTAACAAAGTAATAATAACACTGAATTTGGAAATAAAAGCAACATGCAAATATATGTATTTGCGTGTTTCTTACAAGTTATTGTAAACTTATACTTTCACTCTCAGAATCTGAGTGACTGTGTTTGTAAATGGGAATGCTTATTATGAACCACAGGAAATTTTTTTAGAGTCAAATAGGTTAAATGTGAGATTACTTCATAATGTATGAAACAATATGCAAACATATATTTACAGCACTGGTGACTATCCAGAAATAAGTTCCCTGACTGCAGAAGAAAAGCATCTTACATTTTTTCCTAACTCCATTACTGGTCACAGTGCCTACATTGTAGCACGCATTCAAGTATCACTGAACTGCCTTACATATTAAAGCATGGAATTAGATATTTCAAAATACAGAAATAATGTAATACCTCATAAGATGCATATACTTTTTGGCTTTAGTGAATAGATTATGCTTCAAAAAGTATTATCAATATTTTATAGACTTTTTGTTAACCAGAAAACTCTTATATTCTTACCCATAGCAATAACGCATTGTCTACTTAAATCAGTAAATGTTAGTACATCATAACTCCACAATAAGATGGTTTTATTAAATGGTTCCATCATACTCTGTTGAACGTAGTGCTTTTTATGCCATTACCCTATTTTTAATTGTTTCATTCACTTGGATCTTCAGAGACAATGTAGATAGGAATTTAAAAATAGCAGTTAAGTGAATATTCTTGTAACTTATATTTAGTATGTGCAAGTATCCAATTAAGCTTCCATTTAAATGTCTTTTTTGGGCAGTTCTCAAAGGAAACAGAGTATGTGACACATGTAAGCTAGACACAAACTGCATTCGTTTTAGAAGAAAAGTATAATATTAATTTACATGATTCATTTTGCTTATAAAATATTTACACAAACTGTGGACATATATAATGCTCTAGAGACAAGAAATAGCTTATAAGTATGTTTTCAGAAATTTGAATGTGATTTCATTTAACCTAGACTATTTTCTGAGCTGGCCCATACTGAGCAAAGCATATATGAATTATTTAATGACATATTTTCGATACTGCTTTTATTATAAAAGTTGATAAACAAATTTTACTTCTCGCAACAAATAACTTGTTCAATATGCTTTTGTAGAATTTAGATATAGTTCCAAACAAAAATTTCCAACTTATTTTTGAATAGTCAAATATTGCTAATACAAATTATGTATCTGAAAGAGTAAATTTATTTAATATAATTGATATTATTCACTAATTATTCTTAATTTTCCCCAATCTAGTAACATCTGAAAAAGTGAAATGGTAGTTGCTGGGTATAAATAATACATTAATTCAACAGGCTATTAAATATGTCTTAAAATAAAAATGTCATCATTTGATCTGAACAGTTGCTTTAGCGTTATTTTTAATTAATGGCAAGTAATTTTTTATTAAATGTATAACTCAAAAACATTAACTATATATGCAAACTTAGAATTTTCTGGATATCTTGATATGATTCTGACCATTTATTTTAAATGATCTAAATTTAATACCTCCAGATTCACAAAGTAAGTAAGACAATTATCTCTAGTACTTCCAAAAAATTTCTTGGTTAGTACTGATACACACTATTCCAGAAAGTCTACACATTCTGATGTTCTTGAATTTAATTCATCAGAAATATTCTTTATAAGACTTGTTGACTGAAAAATAACAGGTTCTAAATCAGCTTGCCTTATATTCAGAAGAAAATAAGAATGTGAACCTTAGTGCATGATATATGAAAAAATCCTGCATTTCAGTCTTATAGAAAATGACTAAATTTGCTTTCAATTTTTTTGTAAAAAATCTACATATACATTATTAAACTAACCAAATGATAATTTCTTTTTTATTCTCATTTGCTTTCTCAGGTTGAACCAATTGATAATTTCAAAAGCAGATAAGAATAATGAGAGAAGAATAGTATAAGCCGATTTTACTTGTGTTTATTAAAAGTCTTAAATAAAATATTAACTACTTGAAAGCAATAGGATATGAAAAATTATGGCACCATACTTGTATTATTGGAGGTACAGTGACTAAAGTGTTAGAAGACAGACTAAATTGCAGAGGGTTATCAAAGACAGATACTATTTTTCTCATGCATGCTAGTAAAAAATAAGTGTCCAACTGATGCTATGGTTCTACAATTCTTGCCAATGTGGATTGTCAAGGTGCTCCAGTTATGAGTGTGAATTAAGTCTACAATAAGTAACTTCCAGGCAATTACCCAGATATTTGCTCACATCACTTTCACTCTCATACTTCGGGCATGAACTAAACCATATGGCTAAAATGAGCTGCAAAGGAAGTTAAGAAATGCAGACTTCTGATGAGCAGCTGCGGGCCCTCCAAGCACACACACACACCCTAAACAAACAAGAATGCGGGAGGAGAGAGACATACACACAAACAGAAAGAGAGAGATAGAGAGGGAGGGAAAGAAAGAATAGATACTGGTGCATAGTTCAGTAATTGCTGTGATGACCTCTGCTACCTAAGGTCTGGATCTGAGTGTACCCCTTATACCCTTCCTCCCACACAAAGAACACACTAATCATTCTTAAGGAAGAAAATTAACAACACCGCGAGTTATAACACCTGGCTGAAAGTGAAGGATCTCTGGGTAATTAAAAATCCTCTCTGCCCTGATGTTTTATAAATTGGAAAAAAAAAAAAAAAAAAGTTGTTTTTTCATCTCCATTCCCTAGCATCATGTGGAAATGAAACAAGAAAACTGCATTTTAATCTTCGGGGCTCAAACCCAGGAAGGGGAAACAAACAAACAAAGAAATAGTCGGTTGTGCCCAGTCTACCACAAGCAAGGTTTGGCATGTCGTCTTTTCTTTGGTAATGGAATAACTTCCTTTGATTAAGCCTATAGAATATTCCCATTGTTTCTGGCTCGTCTTTAGTGGAATAGTAGTAGTTTGCTTTGCTCATTTTTTTCCATGGTCCTGACCATGAGTGTTTGGGGGTTTCTTCTTTTGTTTTTTCGAGAAGAGGGAAAGAGTTGTTATATTTCATAAACTTAAATTCATCAAAATACTTGGATTCTTCCATGAAAGGAAGGAAGGGATCTTTTGGCCCCTCAGTATATGATATGTTGGAAACTTTCGAACCCTGAAGATATTACATTTTAAACAAGCCGAGTGTTTGAAATATCAACAGCAAAAATAGGAGCCGAAATAATTAGAGATGGTTAGAACTTAGACGATTTAGCATTCAAGATAATTAATAAATAATAACCTTTTTTTAGAGTGAAATCTTGATTTTAAAAAGACAGATGAAAACTCCATAGGATTTCAGAGAACTCATGGTAAAACTCCATCTTCGTAATTCTTTTTATAAAGCAATCTATAATATATGTTTTGTATATATTTCTATCCTATATATATATATCTTATATATATATTTGAGACAGAGTTTCAGTCTTGTTGCCCGAGGGCTGGAATGCAATGACGGATCTTGGCTAGACCTGCAAACTTCTATCTCCCGGGTTTCAAGTGAGCTTCCTGCACAGCCTTGTGGTGGTTGGGAATACAGCATGTTGCTCCATGGCCCGGCTAATTTCTGCTCGTTTGAGTACAGACGGCGGTTTCTCCATGTTGGTCAGGGTGGTCTCGAACTCCCGACCTCAGGTGATCCACCCACCTCGGCCTCTCAAAATGCTGGGATTAGAGGTGTGAGCCACCGCGCCCAGCTGCAAACATATTTCTTATATTTTCCAACATCACAAAATTATGCCGAGCTATGATTGTACTAAAAGCTGATAAAGACTGTGTTGTTATATTTAATGGTACTCTGAATTTTATTGCCATTTCTAAAATTGTATTCAGAGAAAATTATGCCCATGTTTCTATAGAGGAATTTTAAATAATACATGAGCATACAAACTTGAGCAACGTTGATTAAGGTTCTGTAAAATTGAAGCAGGAAATAGTATAGAATATAGTTTTACTCATTCTATTATAATAAATCTCTCACAAGTATGCTTCAGTTAAGCTCAAAGGGTAGAAAAATTAACCTGGAAGGGGGCATTCAGATATAAGTAAGTTTATTTTGGAGACATCTCTATGTCACCTGAGATTATTTTCTATAAAATCAGAAGAAAGATGAATATCACTAATGATAGCACAAACCACTAATTAGAAGGCAGTATGTAGAATTTTTCTGGAAGAATAAAACTATAAATGACAAATTAATTTTATCAGGAATTGTAAGAAAATGCAATGAGGGTAATAGGAATGTTATCTTTCAATACAATGGACAGCAAATTGTAAACCGAATGTATTCACTAACACAAAAGAGAAAATTATTTTTAATGATTGCCTATTTTTTCTCTCTACATAAAGTTTGAGTTTCATGTCTGATGACTTTATGGCTTTTTAAATAGACACTTCATGTGACATCATTACATTACTTTATACAGTATTACTACATTTCTATGGTAAAATTTAAGCAACAGATTAATTTTGAAAGACTTTCAGAGAAAGACTTGTAAATAATAGACCTGAGACATAAATCAGATATGGACCTTTGCTTTTTCTTTTTTTTTAGTTTTTGTTTAATAATAAAAAAATTGGGGTTTGTAAAAGTTTAGAATAATCACAGGAACGTTGTCTGGCAACATTTTGGCTATATTAGTAACACTACATGCAATAACAGCAATAAATTTTCTTCCATGAAAAATTAATTTTCCATTCCTATTGCAAGGAGAGAGAAAAAAGTAAGTGCTGCGTATATCCCCCAAATTAGAATTCATTATTTCATACTTAAGTGTTCTGTGTTACCACAGCATAAAGGGTTGTCACAGTGCAATGGTGGCACCTATTGGCATATGGGATATATGACATTAAACTGTCTGAATTTCCCCAATTTTCTCTTTTCAGTGCATATACGGTCTAGAATTGAAGAAGGCATGGCTAAAATCAGCACTTTCAATTTTAAATGAACAAGTTTAAAAGCCAGCACTAAATGCAATGTGTAAGGTGGCATTAGTCATGGAGGTTCTCTGACCATGGGATACTAACGAGAATGAGAAGAGGCCGGGCGCGGTGGCTCACGCCTGTAATCCCAGCACTTTGGGAGGCCGAGGCGGGCGGATCACGAGGTTAGGAGATCGAAACCATCCTGGCTAACACGTTGAAACCCCGTCTCTACTAAAAATACAAAAAAAATTAGCCAGGCATTGTGGCCGTCGCCTGTAGTCCCAGCTATTCGGGAGGCTGAGGCAGGAGAATGGCGTGAACCCGGGAGGCGGAGCTTGCAGTGAGCTGAGATCGCGCCATTTCACTGCAGCCTGGGTGACAGAGCGAGACTCCGTCTCACAAAATAAATAAATACATAAATACATAATAAATAAATAAATCCCTGTTCTTTCGTTTTTAAAAGCTGCTCTGAGGGGAAGAGGGCATAATATCTTGAATAGCTATTATGTAACTCAAAAAAATTTGAAAATGTTCATCAAAATTATGGCAGCTCCTTGAAGACACAGAGAGTGCACAAACAATTCAGAATCTGGTTGACACAATTAACCAAGCATTTCAAGCCCAGGAAATCTTACTGCGCCCATTGTTCCTTTTAATGTTTGGAAACTACATCGCATTACATTTGAAGCTAAGAGGAATTAGAAATATTTTAGGTGAGGAAGTTTATCTTAAGGATTAATAAGGATCTTAGAAGGTTTGATGACTGGAAGGGTGTCACTAACCAATTCTCAACAAGAGCCCTAAGAAACAACCTTTTCATTTCTTGCTTCTGTTTTCATTTTCTTCATATCAACATGCTATTTAGCATTTATTAAGTTTTTGCTAATAAGATAACTGAAAATGATTTACTATATTCTGAACATTATAAAACATACATTTTAATATTTATAATGTAACTAACAGAAAATGATCAGGTATTGGTTTATAAGGATAAATAATTTTAAATCTATGAGCATGAGCACATCATTAGACTTTAATGGTAGAAATTAAACTAATCATGTCTAATAATTATGTACAAATAGAAAAGTGAATCATATACAATATTTATAGACTCACCATAATGGATCAGTTTTCTCTATACAACACCCAAGCATAAAACTTGGAGAAATCAGCTAGCGAAGAGTTCAGTCAAATCTACAAAACAATGATATTGATTCCTTCTATATAGTTTTTCTTCTTAGGCCTGGATATATTGTGCATAACATAATATTTATTATATACTATATATGATATAATACATAATGTGTAATATATAATGTAAAATCATAAGATTAATTTTGAAACATGCTCTTACATTATTGAAACACAGATTAATTTATATATTACACATTACTCATAGTAATATACTATTACTGTACATATTAATTACACTTTCAGTCACATGAAGATAGCTTATAAATATTAATGTATGACAAACTAAAATGAACGAGTATTCCCCACAAAACATACATTCATCACCCAATGAATATTTATTTATGTTATGTTGCCCATCACAGAGTAGGAATTATTGGATATAAACGCACTGTTCTCCTGGAGCTTACAGTGTTAATGCATTCTAATATTTCCATTATTATAAGGGAAATATATATTAAAATAATGATAATGACAAAGATAATAATAATGAAAGAAATAAAAAAGAGGTGATCAAGAACAAGGGTTAGAATGACAAAAAGAGAAAAATAAGATGGTATTAAATTATATGAAGACAAAGTAAGGAAGAGGAGTTGGTAGATGGGGGTGCACAATGTTAAATATGTGATTCATGTAGTCTTCAGTGATATGACATTCAAGCCAAACTTCCATTATGTTAATCAATGCTGAATCCATTTTTTCTAATGTGGAATAAATAATGATAGCACAATTTCTAGAGAAAAATGTAGATTTGGGGTAGAAATTTAGAAGTCATCAAAATGTTTATTTTATTTATGCACAAAAGACTGGAAGAAATTACTAAAAGAGGGTAAATGTTTACAGAGAAAAGAAGAGTTCCAAGCGTTCAGCACTGAAGTACTCCAGCATTCGTGAGACTGACTAAAACAGAAAGAACGAGAATGAGTGACTTAAAAGGAGAGAATGTGGTTGTTGGAGAAAACACAGAAGAATGTGGTATCTTCCCCAAGAAGAAAGAATAAATAAGAATTTGTGCTAATCATTGCTGATAGACCTAATACGAGGAAAACTGAGTGATTACTATTGAGTTATCAATATATGTACACCACTGGTGACCTAGTAAAGTTTGGTGAGTGCTAGAGGCAGACTCCAGATTGAGCAGATTCAAGAGGAAATGGAAAGAAGTGCATAGAAGAAGTGAACAGAGCTGTAAGAGTACAGACAGCTGTATGTATGATCTCTGCTCTAAAAAAGAGCAAGGAGATTGGGAGGTCGAGGCGGGAGGATCACGAGGTCAGAAGATCGAGACCATCCTGACTAACACGGTGAAACACCATCTCTACTAAAAATACAAAAAAATTAGCCGGGCGTGGCAGCGGGTGCCTGTAGTCCCAGCTACTCGGGAGGCTGAGGCAGGAGAATGACGTGAACCGGGACCCGGGAGGTGGAGCTTGCAGTGAGCCGAGATAATGCCACTGCACTCCAGCCTGGGTGACAAAGCAAGACTCCGTCTAAAAATTCACAAACCATTTGTGCTTTTTTATAGTTAGTTATACAAGTGTGTACAGACTCAGCAACACTCTATGCCTGTTAGCAGAGTGTATAAAGTACAA